TCCAGACAAAAACTGCAGCTCCTGTAGCATTCTCCTACAGCTACTTGTGTGACTGTGGATCAATCTTTTTCTCAGGTTTTGTATTCGAGCAGGCATGTCTCAATAACTTGCAGGTATGAATTATATATAATAATAATGCTTGCATTTAATATAGCGCCTTATCACGTCTTCAAGATGTCTCAAAGGTTCTAAGACATGCTTATCTTGTACGAACATTATTCGTAGACGCATATATCTGAGACATTTTATTGGCTAAAGTGTAAAAATTGTGCTGGCCTAAAGTAGTATCATTTCACCTGCAAAGTACACAGTCACTCCAGTTTACAGTATACCCTATGCAGTGCTTTCAGAGGTCTCAATGTCATGACAAGGTGTTATATCAATTGCAAGGATTATTATTATTAATATTATTATTACTACCAGGAAAAATACAATAGCATATCTTATTAAAATGCTACATGGAGAGATTGTAATGCATTATAGATTCACTAAAGTTATTTCAAATCTAATAGTTCTGAATTTAGTGGAGCAGAAAAAAATCAAATAGAAGTGATCAAAGGGATTGTGGGGATAGGCAATCAGCAATTATTTCCACTGACAGGAGAATCTACAGCATGAACTTACCAAAGAATATTTCAAGAAGCATAAAGAGAGAGGCTAGAATATTTTTGCACAAAAGATTGTGAAACTTGTTACTACAAGAGGCTTTTGAAGCGGAGTCAATTATGTCCTTTAAACACATGAAGTGTGGAAATTGCAGGGAAATGGGATTAGCTCCGGTGGGGAAGCTTGTACGATTGGCAAAAGAACTTTTTTCTGCTGTTAAATTTCTATAATGTCATGAAAAACAAATGACACAAGTCAAGATAATGAGCTAGCACAGTATGTTGGAGCTCTTTGCAATAGCTGTGCCTGAGACAAAGAGATGGAGATCAGAGCAGCCAGTCCGCAAACAATTTCTAAAATTAACCCTGACGCAGAAATTTTGAAAAAGCTAAATTAGGAACCTATCTTCCCAGAACCACTTACCGGTTTTGTTACCCCCTGCCTGAATGTGGAAAAATTGTATAACTACAACAATACCTTGCATTTATAATAGCTCCATTCATGTAAGGTCATGTCTTAAGAGTACTATACAAAATGCAGAAAGAACTATACAACTCCTTTAAAGAGTGGTGTCATTGTTACGATCCAAAGCAAAATTAAAGTTTTATAATTGATTGAAAGAACATGTTTTGTTCTATCTATTTTAATTAACGTATTTAAAATATTTTTCACCATGTACAGAATGAACCTTCAGTATACGCTCACATGAATGGAGCTATATAAATGCAAGTTACTGTTGTAGATATGTAATTTTTATAGCATGGGTTCACCAAGAGCAAGGTGCACCATGGACTGGATGTATCCTTCCAACTTCCTGCGCTGACTGGCCAGCTTCCTGCACAAAACGCACAAATGCAGAAGGCCTGTGTTTCTCTCAGTGTCCCACCATCCACTGGAATCGCTCGCGAGAGAGATGGACACTACCTGCTCATGACAGCAGCAGTACAACCTGCGTGCATTACAGACAGTAATATGAGCAGCAACCTGATGACTTGGAAAAGTTGATAACATGCCCCTTTGTAACAGGGGTTTGATTTCTTTGGACCCAAATCACCAGGCTATCATGGTGATAGCCAGGTTAATATCATTGATGGTAGTAAATTAAAGACGTTAGAGCAGGCTGAGAGTGGAGGAGTTGGATTTTGGTGGAGTTCTACTAATTCAGTTCCCTTATTCTAGTCGTTCCCTGTTAGTGCCATCATTATTCACCGTTGAAAGAAAAATATGAAAAAAACTGCGAAAAATGGAGAATGCAGAACAAAAGCACATTAATTCAAATTAGAATTCTTTAACTGGTAGCTGTTTCAAAGAAATCAATATGTTAAAAATCTCCTTTGAACAGGGACTGAGTGAAATTTACTTTAATTACAGTTATTATATTTTCTCAGTATTTCAAATTTCCCAAGTGTGTATCTTTGCTTCCTGGAGTGGCTCCACTGGAAGCTGAAGAGATTTAAAATCGGGAATTGCTGAATTGTATTTAAATGTCGTGCTTAATAAAGATTGAAAAAAATCTCCCTGTCCTGATTTTATAACGACAAAGCTAATGGCTCATTTAGTATAATTAACACTGCACAAAATGCATCCACATTCACCTGCAGTATATATTCACTAGATTTTATCGTATATCCTGTGAAGCACTTTGAGATTTCCTCTCGATGTGAAATACCATACGACACAATTTACTTTTAGATAACGTCTTTCACAGTGAGAGGGTGTAACACAAAGCTGAATGGCACCCAACCTGAGAGTGGGAAATAAGGTGGGAGGAGAAACATGATTGAAAGAGGAGTTAAACAGGCGTGGCTAGAGGCATGCCTTGAAAGAGGGGAGGGAGCCAGCGAGTTAGAAGGGCTTGAAAAGGAAAAAACCCAGATCAATACTTGATCTGTATCATGACAGTAGGCAAAGAGGTTTAGAGTTGTAAAGAGCAATTTCAGGCCAGAATTAAGGATGATTGTTTTTACAAAGGGGGTAATCAATGACTCAAACAAGTTGCCAGGAAAGGTAGTAGAGGACAGCAACAACAACAAATTACATTTATGTAGCACCTTTCGGGTCAGGAAGACATCCCAACAACAACAAATTATATTTATATAGCGCCTTTCACGTCGGGAGAATGTCCCAAGGCGCTTGACAGAGTACAGCATTTCAGACCCACCTGGGGTCAGACGGGGAGAAGGGAAGGAAGGGGAAGTGGCTGATGGCATGGTCGAAGAGGAGGGTTTTGAGGTGAGACTTGAAGGCACTGGACAGCACACAAAACTCATTTAAAAAACAGCTTGATGCAGTCATAATAATAATAATAATCCTAGCATTTGATATGGCGCCTTATAAAGTCTTTGAGACGTCTCAAAGGGCTTCACCGGATATACTGTAAAGTTAATTGACTGTATATTTTGTGGGGGATGGGGGAATGGTAGGGTGGGTGCTCTAGAGCGATGAGATTTGATGGACCGTCTTCATCCAGACCAATGTAGTGATCTTGTGATTTAAGAAATACACACATATCCTGAAAGCGTTGATTGTGAAAGATTTGGATTATTGAAACAGGTCCTTTAATATATACTCACACATTAGCCATGTTCTTAATGCCCTCAATTATCAAGGCTTTTTACCCACAAAATACAGTGAATCCACTTTACAGTAATAATAATATAATAATCCTTGCATTTGATATAGCATTGTTCACATCTTCTCGACATCTCAAAGCGCTTCACAGAATAGATTGTAAAGTGAATTGACTGTATATTTGTGTATCCCGTGAAGCGCTTTAAGATGTCTCAACGACGTGAGACATCAAATGTATCAAATGCAATGATTATTATTGTTAAGGTTGAGACCAGGAACATGGATTAAAAACTATTTATAAGCTACATCACATACTTCAGCTATGCACCAAGTAATTCAGTGGGGAGACAGCAGAAAACATTTTTTTCCTACTCCCCGCTTCTAAAGACATGCAACTCTCATTTTCCCTCTTTTGGTTCATGAGCATTGCTGTCCTCCAGTTTCTCTCCCAAATGATCATTATTTATTTGCAGTGAGTGGTTGGAGGCAATTCATCCATACTGACCAATTCTACTCTCACAGATGAATATGCAAGTGCACTGTATAGCATGGATCTTTGGATAGCAATCAAAAATTGCAATAAAGGGCAGCCCTGTTATGTATCCCAGTTGAATACTGGTTCGCTTAGAGTGTGACCCATTGAGAACTGATGCTATAACAGAAACACAGTACCTCTGGCTTCCAGTCCCCCTCCTAAAACATGGAGAACTTTAGGGTTGGCAGGTTGCTGCTGACGTTATTTCTCTGCATTGCGCACATACAGTGTCACCAGTGTAACTTTCTGCCCTGTTGTAGATGTGCAGGAAGTACCTCTGAGGTGTAAATGTATGCCATGTCCAGAAAACTCCACTGATAACATTTTGTGGAGTAAGCGACATTTGCGTTGCTTCCTGCTCAAAGCATGTACGTCCAACTGCAGGAAGCGACATCAGCGGAAGGAAACCTGACAACCTGAAAGACGGCCTTTTTTTTATTCTCCGTTAAACCACAAGACCCTTGAGATACTGGCACCAGCCGATCACATTATGACAGCTTACCCATCAGTATACCTTTGGCAACAGTCCCAAATATTGCTCAATCCTCTTTTAAAAACTACAAAGAACAGTTGATTAGAATACAAATTTACATTTATATAGCGCCTTTCACATCAGGAGGATGTCCCAAATACTGGATTGCCACCTGAACTCGGGTGGGAGTTGAGAGAGTTGGGATGAGAATGATGACTAGAAGGGCAGTCAAAGAGGAAGGTTTGAGATGGACATTGATAGAGGTGAAGAAGGGGGCAAGGAGGAGGGACTCCAGGATGGAGTTCCAGAGTGTTGGGGCAGATAGGCTGAAAGCCTGACTGCTGATTGTGGGGCGGGTAGGTGGGGTACATTAAGCAGCTCGCTGAGTGAAGGATTGACTGGGTTGGTAGGGTTTGAGGATGTCGCAGAAAGAGGATTGGGCAAAATCGTGGAGAGATTTAAAAGGGAGGTTGAGGATCCTGAACTCAATCTGCTGGGGATCGGGAGCCTTTGGAGTAGTTCAAGGCGAGGGATAATAGGAGTGGAGCATAGTGCGGGAAAGGACATGGGCTACAAAAGTTCTGGATAGTTTATAGCTTGGGTGAGAAGAAGAATTAGTACCAGGCTCTCAGTTTATATAAGATACAGCCTGCCTGTAACCATCTATGAATGAAAAACCACAGGAAATAGTTAGCTCTTCATGAGTGGTTCATCCAGAATCTCATGGAACAAAGTTAAATGAGTAAAATAAACATCCATATTCAGTTTATGATTCATATTCTGATAGCAATCAATGTTGGTGTTAATGACACTTACGTTTTGGAGTAATCCCAGACAACACAGTAAGGATCAGATGTTCCCTGAAATAACAATAATTAAAATCTATATTTATCAAACAGAAACAGTTTATTTTGAATAAGTAGATGTATAATAACAGCATTTAGGAAGACTAAAGGTCCAGAGACAAAGCCTGGAATAAAACTGAGTATTTCTTATGATAGAAATTCTAATGATAGCACACTGCTGAAAATCCTTAATGTCAACAGTTATCTTGAGACTGCTTCACAATGTCTGACTGTCTCCAGAACCACATTTATGTTGAATATGATATTATAAAATATAAATCTACATTTATATAGTGCCTTTCATGTTGGGTACCAAGTCACTTAAGACAACACCACCACCAACAAATTATATTTGTATTGTGCCTTTCACATCGGGAAGAAGACTGCAAGCGTGATCAAAGAGGTAGGTCTTTAGAAGTACAATATAATTATAATACAATATACAAAAGTGAGTATTGTGCATAATTTTAACTTTTCAATATATTGTTTCAATATCTACTATTAGATCAGGTAAAAGCAGGGATTGAACATGGATGATAAAATCACCCTTGATGCTGCTCTAATCCCACCTCAAACATCCCCACTGGACCAGCAATGTTTTTTTCCCCCCAATCCACCAACAATTGCTTAGAGACAGAATTCTAAGGGCAATAATATAACATTTAACAGAGCACCTATATTATTAAAATGTCTCAAAAATGCTTCACATGCAACTGTTATCAAATGTAGTGACAGTGCAATTTGTAGACGAATGCCTCAGCCAGTTTGTTGAATGAACAAACAGGTCCCACAAACAGTCATGAAGTAAATAACCAATTAATCTGGACAATGTTGGATAGTGGAGACGAGGACGCCAGGAGAAACTCCCTTGGAATATTTTGGAATAGTGTCACATTTTTAATGATCATCTAAACAGGCGAATGCGATCTTGGCTTTAATATCTCAATGAAATAATGTCATCTCTCGTAATGCAGGACTCTGTAGTGGCTAGGAACCCAAGTTTTGACTTGAGGTTTAACCCACAACCTAAGGAACTAAAAATAATAAATCAGGAGTCAATTGTTGAAGTTGGTGGCAGAGTCTGTACGTCACAACGCTTTGTTCAAGACTATCCAAAGTATATGTGGCTGCTGCAGTTGTTCAAATAACCAGTAGCGGTTGCAACAACAAACTCAAGCAAAATCCAAAAAGATTACAGATGGCTAATGTTTCAGATGCATCCCTTCACCAGAACTGAAACGGTGATCGAAGGAGTCACTATCTACAATAGACTGATGTATTGTTTGCATGTCTTTCCTTCTACTAACGGTTTTGGTACTATCCCTGTTTTGTGATGTAAATAAATAAACTGAACTCCTGTGTTCCTTTGTATCTTGTATGTTTTTCTCCTCTCTTTTGTGCAATGGGCTCTTTCAGTCCACCTTTTCAGTTAAAGAAAAAATTAAGAAGAAGGCATTTACTGACGAGGTTACTGAGCCCATCAAAGGATGTACGGAAATAAGTCGAATGAACACACGCAATTTAAATACTGGAGAAGCTTCTGTATTTCTGGCTGCATTTCGATTGGTATTCATTCAACTCATTTACATTGGGAGGCTTGGTAACTCTTCCAAGCCAGTGTTGCAATTGATATCTGTAACCTTTACTGGTTAAAGAAATATGTAATGTGCGAATCAATATAAGCGAAGGGTGGAAATAAAGCTAAAGCTAAAATATTAAAGCTAATTATAACCTTTACTAACTATTTTTAAAAAAAGATTCCAGATGAAAGGAGTTTCTCTAATGTTATTCATACACAGTCACACTGCTGGAATGGGCAGAACATGTAGCCTGTGACAAATAGCGCTGTAAAAATTTTGTACCACAGACCTGAACGGGGTTAATTTTGACCAGAACACAACACGGAGACAAAACACTGAACAAAATGATGTTTATAGGAAATCAGATAGAAGGAATCCAAATTTAGCCACGCTAGGGATTATAGTAACCTGTGGAGACAGACAGATGAACAGCAAGGAGTGAACGAAGGAATGGTGAACAAAACAAACTGTAAAATGAAGACTGACGTTCAGGGATGCAAAACTTGCCCACAAAGAAGTTACATTGCACATGCATGCAATTGTAATCTGTTCTGAAATAAAACAAAGTACCAGTGAAATATGTGGATTTGAATGTCTGAACCGTTCCTGGTAAAGCAGTGACTATCTTCCTCGTGAGTGTGAGGAGGTGAGAGTGGTACCCTCTGCCCTTGGAGCTCAGCTCGGTCCGAGGCAATGAGCTTCGCAATGGAAAGTTGGAATCGAGTCAACTCTCTGCTTATAATCCTTCGGAAAAGGAATTATTGTCCACTACTCCTGCACGTGAGCAACATTTAAGGCCTGAAATTACTCCAATGATAGAGCTAATTTGCAATTTAAGGTCTTAAATTGATATGAAGTCTCCATGTTTTATCTAAGACATGAATATTTGTTCCCATGTCCAACGCTGCATACCAGACTTCCTCAATACCAGCTGCTTGATTCAGATCGACTGTAAGCCAAAGCGCTAATGGTTAGGATGATTCTAACTGGATAAGTGGCGGGAAAGCTTGCCAGAGAGCTCACTTGGCTTTAACTGGTTAGACTCCAGGAGTACCTCAACACACTCTGGAATCCCCAAGTCTTGGCACTTTCCAACGTGCACCTAATACTCAGAATGCGTCCATCCAGGGAGAGAATGCGCATTCAGTTCCAATAAATACTTGGGAATTTCCATGTATGGGTGGGATTCTTGGTTCGAATGCTCTTGAGGATGGTGATGAGCTTCTGCATGTGTCAGACATCAGGTCCCCAAAATACCCTGCTCCCATATCTAGGATATTATTTGAACACTGCTCTTACGCTCCACGACAGGAATATAAAGAAAGGTTCTTTGTTTCATAAGCGTTTCTTCCCTTACCTCTGGCTTCCATCCTCACTTGCTCTGCTGCAGTCCTTCCTGACTCTTGCTCTTTCTATTTTATCAATACTACTCTGTCCATTGCTGCACTCAATTTTCTCTTGTTCCTCCTAAACTTCGCCTGCCTATTCTGGTGGATGTTAAAGATTGCATGATCAATATTAGAAAAGAGAACAGAGTTTCTCCTGGTGTCCTGGCTAACTATTCCCCACATCGAAAATCCTGGTCAATCACTTCATGGCTGTTTGTGTGGATGTGGCTGTAGCGTACACAAATTGTCTGCTGCTTTCAGCTATACATACACAATTTCTAAATTTTACATAAAACTCTGTGAAGCACTTTGAGATGTTTCAACATGATAAGGTGCCATATCAATTGTAAGGATTATCATTTATTATCGTTTATTGTCCCACATATTCTTACTCCTTCCTGCATTCTCAAATCTAATCAATCACATTCTCCTTCCCGCTAACATATGTTCAGGCTTGAAATTAAGGGCAACTGTGACATTTTTAATTTTATCTCCACTTATCTTACCTACATCTTCAGTACTATATTCTAATAGGACAATCCTGGAACCAGAAAGAAAATTACGGTGAAAGAAACCAACTCACAAGAAATCAAGAGGACTAAGTGAATCAGAGACGAGCTACTGAATCGATTAACAGTGAAGATAACTGTCCTGATTGACAGCAGTCACCATGCAGGTATAAACATCCTCTCGGGCAGCAAACCTCCTGTGACATTCACTCCAACATTTCTACTTTGCAGTTCTTCCTGATTAATAAACTCAGTCACACTAGGTCAGAGCTGCTAACTTCTCCTTCCTTGCATCTTCTTGGCTGCTGGCTGGATAAGTGACTCCTCAACACTCAAGTAAGATAAATGGGGCTCTTTTCCTGACTTCCTTTGTGTTTTTTTTAACACCAATTTTGAAAGATTGCAAGCGTCACATTTTTTGATAGCTTGATCCCTGAAATCCTGGCCCACTTTACAGACCTGAGCAATCTTACGCCATTGATTTTTAAAATGAAAAACGTTACTGCTCTTTAGCCTTGAAATACCATCTTTATGGATTTCAAAGCTTTTTATAGCAGTTGAACTTTAAGATAATGCAGATCCCACTGCAGTTGAATATAACACTCATATAATACTTACGTTAAACACGTGGGACAGCTCCACAATAACCATTGGTTCTGTAGGTTGGGGCTGTGGCCTTACTGTCACAGCAAGTACTTTGGAATTCAGTGCCATCGCCTTTCTGAAAATAGAAAGATTTAACTTGTGCAAGTTTATCACAGAATCATAGAATATCACAGCACAGAAAGAGGTCATTCGACACATTGTGCCTGTGCCTGTGCCGGCTCTTTGGAAGAGCTACCCAATCAGTCCTGCTCCCCCAATCTTTCCCCAGTCCCCTGCAAATTTTTCCTTTTCAAGTACCTATCTAATTGCCTTTTGAAAATTGTTATTGAATCTGTTTCAACCACTCTTTCAGGCAATGCATTCCAGACCATAATCATAGAAGCAAAGAAACTGATTCAGACATCACTAAGGAGTGTGCCTTGTTACTTGAAATGCAACCACATCCATATTACATGATTACATTATATGAAGAACACATTAAATGAAAGTTACATTATAGGATCACATTATATGCATCATAGATTCAGTGGTTTACCATCAATGAACAATTAAGTGATATCAGGCACAAAACATTGGAGCCTGAATCATTATCTATCTGTATTATTTATCTGCAAAATGTTCAGTCCTACAATGCATCTTGTTTATACCACACATTCACAGATGAAATAAGTTTTGAAACATAGAAAGATTTTACTTTATTGCAACTCTCCAGTATGTCAGTCTGCCTCGGTTGATAGGATACTGCTTCTGTGTCAGAAGGTTGTGGTCAAGATTCATGTCAAGTCTTGAAGTTATGTCAAGTGTGGGCTGACATGTCATATATTTAGCGTACACCTTGAGTTCTGCCTCCAATTCTGGTCAGGCAATAAAAGAAGGCTCCACAGGCCCTAGACTCCAGAAGCAGTGCAAAGGAGAGCAACAAGGGTGATTGCAATCAGCAGAGGATTAACAATTAGATAAGCTAAGGTGCTTCAGTCTTAAAAGAACATATCCCAGAGTGGACCTTAACAAGCTGCATAAAAATTTAAACTCAGAAGAAATACTTTAGAATGCACCAAGACAGAAGAACTAGAGGACATATGTTTAAAGTTGCAAAGGTCCATTTCAGGGCAGACATCGAGATGTCTTTCTTCACATAGGCAGTTCATTATTTTTTTTAGCCAGCCAGGTGTCTGACACATGCAGAAACCCATCACCGTGGTTAAGGGTATCCAAACCAAGCTGAGATTTCCATGCATCCCTCCTACACATGGAAATCCCAGAGATAGATTGGAATGCGCACTCTCTTCCTGGAGGGACACATCCTACTTACCTAACTCTGAAAAGTATTAGGCACAAGTTGGCAAGAGTAAAGGCTTGGGGAACCCAGCTTGTGCGTTGGAGTAACTGTTGGGAGTCTAACCAACTAAAACCGCATAGCTTGCCATTGATATTGCTGTCCAGCAAGATTTACCACTGCTTGTCCAGTTAGGATGACTTTACCCTACCCGTTAGGGCTTTGGCTTACAGGGTTAACAGGAATGGAGTGGGATGACTCCCTGCCTCAGTGATTGGTCTGCCCTTCCAGGTCCTGCTTATGAGCCAGGCTGTCTGTGCTGTCATCAGCAGTGCCCTGGAATACTGCGGACCCACCTGGCTCAGGACCTGGCCTACTGACACATAGTTAAGATCTAGAACAGGTTACCAGGAAGGGTGGTTGAGATTGGACAATGAACTCATTTAAAAAACAGCTTTTGATCATCGCTTCCTATCACTCCCAGCTCTTCGGTTCCCACGCCCAGCTTGCGTGCAAACTTTGAACTGCCCTGTTGTTCACCTACCAACTCACCACCTAATGGTTGAAGAAGCCCTAAAGGAGGAAGTTAAAGAAATGGTTTGGATTAGGGGAGTTGTTATTGGTTTCCTTAAATAAAGTGTTCTCTTTTATTGCCAAAATGTGGTAGAGAGTTGAGCAGCATGGTAACTGACATCACTCCATCTAAAGTGAAAAATGCACTTGATATATAGTTTACTGCTGTGCGCAATTGGCTGCCGCGTTCGCCCACAAAATATACACAGTCAATTCACTTTACAGTATATTCTGTGAAGCGCTTTGGGACGTCTAGAAGATGTGAAAAGCGCTATATCAAATGCAAGGATTATTATTATTTTATTATTATTGCTATAATAGAGTCGAGAGTTTTGCTTGAAGTTCATGTATGCCTCTAATTACCACTAGTTTACCATTTGCTACAAATCTTTTTTACCTCTCCCTTCTTAGATTCCTGCTCCATCTGCATTATGCCTCATCACTTGACAGAAAGTGTGTGAATACTTAACCTGTTACCAGATATCTACACAACTGACACTTGCTTATTGCTTTATGAGACAGTGACTCCTTAAATGACTTCTAGACACCATTTGTTAATATAGCACTACAGAATAACTATATCACATCAGGAATAGTGTATGAAACCAGTAAAGTAATGTTTAATTCATGATCTGGGCAGTTCTGGTCACCGTATCACCATATCACAGGAAGGATATTTTAGCATTGTAGACAAATGCGGCAACTAATTGTGCATTGCAATGTCGCACCAACAACCATGACTAATTTTATTTGGCGTACTGTTGGCCTGGACACCAGGAGAAACTGCATCTTTTTTCCAATAGTGCTATGGGAACGTAAATGTCCATCTGAACAAATGGACGGGACCTCAGGTCAATGCAGTCCTGCATTGTTGGAAGTGCCATCTTTCTGATGAGACATTAAATTGAGGCTCCATCTACCTGTTCAGGTGGACATTGCATTATTCAAAAAAAGAAGGGAGTTTCTCCTGGTGCCCTGGGCAATAATCCTCCAAATAATATTGGTAATTCATTTCATGGTTGTTTGTGGACATTGCTGTGCACAATTGGGATATCGCATTTGGCTACAAATATACAGTCACTCCAATTCACAATAAATCATGTGAAGCGATTTGGGACAGCCTCCAGCCTCCAGAGGCACTATACCAAATGCATGGATTATTATTAAGGTTGAAACAACAACAACAACTTGCATTTATATAGCGCCCCTCATGCAGGGTAGCGTCCCAGAGTGTCCCCGATACAGTTCTGTCCCACTGGTTTGGCGTGCCAGTCTGGACTCTCAATTCAAAATCTTAGCATGGGGCTTCAACCTTCTGACTCAGGGGCAAGAATACAACCAACTGAGCCAGGCTGACACCACCAGATTCAGGTGCCGAGCAGAGGAGGTCTGATGACAAGTTGCATATCTTCACCCTTGCTGTCAATAATTCACCCACAAAATATACAGTCATGTTACAGTACAACAACAATATACTGTAAAGTATATACTGTAAACAGTATATTCTGTGAAGCGCTTAGAAATTTCTCGAAGGCACTATATCAAATGCAAGGATTATTATTATTATTATTACCGTATATACAGCAGGAAAGAAAATTATTCACATAACAGGGAGTAAAAATATATTGCAGTGAGTCCATTGGGAAGTTGGTAATTGAAGGCAAACATGATCTTTAGCCAAAACTTTAACTTTATTGCCACGAACCTTAACCTGGATGCTAACTACGCCCTGGGGAATTATGTAATTATACACCAGCGTGATTTGGCACATAAAATGTTTCACTTCAGGTTGGTGCGTGATATGGTCAAACTGCAGCCTCCAGAGCAAGTGTGGAGAGTGATGGGAAACGAGACATAGAGGGAGGTATGATTCATAAATGGAGTCCTGTAGCTCAGTGGTTTGGAGCACACGCTTTGCAAGTGAGAGACCTGAGTTCAATTCCCGGCAGAGGGCGAAACCTTGGGCAAGTTTCCTTACTCCACACAGAGCCTAATAATAATCCCTCCAAAACCAAAACCAATAATAAAAAACAATAAATAATAAAAAAATAAAGAATAATAAAAACAATTGGTCATTTTCAATCTACGACTGTTTGTGGGACATTGCTGTGTGCAATTGGCTGCCACGTTCGCCCACAAAATATACAGTCAATTCACTTTACAGTGTGTTCTGTGAAGCGCTTTGGGACGTCCTCCCCACGTGAAAAGCGCTATATCAAATGCAAGGATTATTATTATTATTTTATTATAAATACAGTAAATACAAAAATGTGCTATATAAATATAAATAAGTGTACTATATAATACAAAATGCATGAAAACTGGCATCCCTTACCATCCTAAAGAGGCTACAATCTCTTTAGAGCCTTTAAATTGGATAAAAAAGGGAAATTTTTTGCATCATTTTTAATCTTCATTTCTTTCTGTGCGCCATTTCCTGCGGTGTGGCTAACGGCACCTCTCACTTTGCTGCTCTTCAGATCCTGCTTTCACACGTGAACTCTCTCCAGCACAGGAAACAATGATCTCACCCACCCCCACACCCCCCCATCCTTGATGCTGGGACCAATTGTTGCACCTCCTCAGTCATCTTGATATATAGATCAGGAATCATCAAATTTGTGATTTGCTAACCTATTTAGATGAATATCTCAGCATGAGGTGCATTTACCTATTGAGCCAGAAAAGGAGCTCTGAAAATCAATAGAATGGAGTCCTTTATTGCACCTATGATGGATGTACAGGTTTTATTTTACGAGTCTTTGTAGGAATAAGCACTTCTTTTTCCTCTATTGTTAAGAGATAAATCCCTTGAAATCATAATAAACTTGATTTGGTTCTTTCCTGTAAACAATTCTTTTTAAATGCTACTTACATTTAGAGAATTGAGGATCATGATATTGAACTATATCACTTCTGTATATCATTCACAGAGATTTTATTTGACATTTCACTTCCAATATGAATTCTCATTTCCAGGTTTAAAATTTGTGACCAGAGGGAGATGATATTTTCCACCAGTATTGACCCCAATTTTAACAGCTGGACAACTGTGTCTCATTGAAGCATTGTAATAACTAGGAGCACCAAAAAGTAACTTTGAATAAAATCTATCCTCACCCTCTTTACGTTTTTATATGATTATAACTATTTTATATTTTCTAATATCCTTGAATACCATGTGTCATAGCCATTTTCAAATAAATGTTATATTTCATTTTAAATTGCAGTGGAACATTCTGAATTGCCCTCTTCTGGATTGTTAC